TAGAACCTTCGGGCAGACTACTTAAATTAGACAATGACTAAAGTTGTATGAGTGGCTAGTTGTACACTCTTTCCATGATTGCCCTTTGTGGTTATAATGCAACCATTAGCTGAATGTACTATCAATAAAATCCTAAGTCGCAAGTACTCATCTTAATATTTAAAAAAAAAAAAAAAACTAAAATAGAAGAAGTTAAAATAAGAAAACCATTAATTAAAGGTCTAATTTTAAAAAAAATACAGAACTATTTATAATAACTTCTAAATATGAAATCAAAATAACAGTTTATGTGTATAATAGCAAATATGATCTAAGATACATTTTATAAATAAGTATAAAAAATTTGATATAAAAAAATTAGTGAATAAGAAGAAAAAGGAAGAATAATAAAAAGAATAACAAAAGAAAAAAAAAATCAAGAAAAAGAAAAAAAACAAATTAAAAAATAGAAAAAAGAAAAGAAAAAGCAAAAGAAAAAGTAAAACAAATAAAAAAAGAAATACAAAAAACAATTTTGAGACTTGTTATAGAAAAAAGAAGACCCTTTCATTATAGACTTTAAGTAGTTAAACAAGCAGCTTATTTCTGCTTAAAGTAATGTAACAGATTGCATTTAGGTATCATTAAAGTGTTTAGATGATGCTAGACTTAATTGTTAGAGATATTTATATAATTGCAAATGTAATTCAAAATCTTAATAAAGTATTAGCATGACTGCTTAAGGAAAAAAAAAATAAATAAAAAAATTAAAAAATTGATCTATTTGTATATAGCTTTAGAATATATGTATTTTGTTCTTTTGAACAACTTTACTTAATAATATATTATTGATTTACTTAGTAAAATTTTATTTTTATTATATAAAAACATAACATAATATCTGAAAATATCAAAATTACTTTTTTGATATTTTTAATATTTAGGTTTTCTCCAATCTATTCTAACTTAAATTTAAATTGAAACAATTAATCATAGCATAATTAGGATATAGAGGGTATAATGTTACATTGTATGCTTTTGTAGCACAAATGTAGTATAAAAATCTTTAAATTTAAAAATTCATTTCTAGCTGTAATAAAGTTTCTACTACGACATTATATAATAAAAAAAAAAGATATTTTTAATATAAATGAATCAAAAACGAATTTTTGATTATCAGATGGCGTAGAAGTATAAGTCTGTCGCTTCGCTCCAGACAACAATAATGATCGTAAAATTCAAATAAAAATATTTGCATTGAATTTAGTGAATTTAGTCATCTTACGGTGTTAAGATGATCAGAACGGCGTCCAATAGAAATTTGTAAAAAACGATCTACTACGTCACATCTGATCCTGGTCAAAATTACAATTTTTTGCGAAAAGAACTAGGGGTGTTTGTTAACACGTTCTTTCTTTGCATCCATATCCATAATGGTAAGTGCAATGCTCGCCATATTGATAATTTCACAACTTGAGTAATATTTGCAACAATTTTAGGCTCGTAATGAAGAAAAAGCCCAGTGAGTTAAATTATTTATCTACATGTTCTCGATTCTTAAAATCAATGGCCTAACTAATACTACTGTTTAAGATCTATGCTATACCGTTTTCGCGAGGCTCAGGCCATTCAACTTGGTTTAGTAAAACCAAAAGAACGGCGGCCTTATCTTGCATCTGATTGTAATAGCCTGAAAGATGCGGAAAAGTGGCGTCAGCAGATCATTAGGGAAATTTCAAGAAAAGTTTCAAAAATTCAGGACGGTATGATAGCCCATATAATTTATCTCATTATTTTAATGGTCCTGTTCTTATGATGGTTTAAATTGTGTTAGCTGGTCTTTCGGATTATCAAATTCGAGATTTGAATGATGAAATTAATAAATTAATGAGGGAAAAGGGGCATTGGGAAGATCAAATCAAAAAACTTGGTGGACCGGATTATAGAGTATGTGCACAATTTTTACATGGATAATCTTAAAATATTTAAACATCTAAAATTTGCTTTAATTACAGAGAGTTGGTCCAAAAATGATGGATTATGAAGGTAAAGAAGTTCCTGGTAACCGAGGTTATAAGTAAGTTGATTTCATTTACTTTTAAATATTAAGTAATTCCTAATTTTGAAACAAGATTACTAACGAAAATTAATTTACTATCAAGATATTTTGGACGTGCAAAGGATCTACCGGGCGTAAGAGAATTATTTGAGCAAGAAGGTGCAAAATCTAATAAATTATTATCAAGAGTATGGCCAATCATATTTCTCCGGCAACAATACCTATTACTGACAACAATAATATAGTACCTACACCACAAAAACGTACAAGGTCTGACCTATATAAGAATGTTGATGCTGACTATTATGGGTACAGAGACGAAGAAGATGGATTACTGCTCGAATATGAACGAGAACAGGAGCGTAAAAGTAACTATTATATTATTGCAATTATGCAACAAAAATTGACAACTAAACTGAGTGCACATATATTTTTTGGATTTTAGTTATAGCAGAAGCATTAGAATTACCAGATAAAACATTGCCTAAAGATAAGTTCACGCAAAAGAGAAAAGAGAATACTTCACAATTAGAAAGTGGTGCAATGGATATCGATCAATTGTCGGAAAAGTTTGTTTCACATGTAGCTGTACCCACTCAAAAAGAAGTTGAAGAATATTTAGTACGACGAAGGAAACGACAGATCCTTGATCGCTATGTGTCTGAACAGTGTTGACTAGAATCTGGCATTTCTTGTACTTATAGGTTTTTTTAATAAAAATTCTATTAAAAATAGAACTTTATATAAAATAGCTTTGTAAAACTATTGCTCTGGTGTATTTAAATTGTTTAAAATGTTAAAAACAATTTTCGAAATTTATTAACTAGTATTCAGAATTCTGCGGTACATAAATCTGCTCACGCTAAGAATTTTTTTAATGTTGTAATTGATTTTAAAAAGTGAACAAAGTCACGTTTATTTTATGGAAACAATAGGCAAAAATATTTTTAGAATGAGCAGATCTATGCACAGCAAAATTCCGGTAGGGATAGGGATGGTAAAAAATCATTTTTCACCGATTTAAATCCTAACCTGGATATTCTGAGGCTTAATTTAATATTCGATCTAATCTGTGAAACATGTGTCTTTTGCCTTGAAAATAGGGTTCCGAGTCCCTCAAACAAAAATGCATTAAAATGAGTTATTACATGATCGACGTAACGGATAAGTATTTTACCGTTATTTTGTACTACCTACGGACATAGTTACACGAATTTAGGGTTTATCCAATAGAATTAAAAATCTATGAAGATCGACGATCAGCATATCTAAAATTAGGGTCGGTTAATTTCAATATATGATCTACATACTGCATAAATTGATTCTTGATATCTATATAACCCACACAAACCATAACTGCATCAAAAAGGTAACTCTAAAACTCGCTCCGCTTTAACCGACCCGTAAAATTAGCGGCAAATCAAATTTGGGTGGTCAGTTAAAGCGAAGTGAGTTTTAGGGTTACCTGCTTCATGCAGTTTGGGTAAGTAGGTTATATGTAGTATGTAGACCCTTCTAGCCATTGTTATACGAGATTTTAATTAGGAAAATCATAATAAAGCATTTTTATTTAAATTTGGATTGTTTTGGGTACACAACCTTTAATTACTGTTTGCTTAAAAAAAAATTTCTACGTAGTGCCAGATAATCGGATTTATATCGGTTTTTTGATTCTCAAAAAAATAACCAATGGTTTTCTAAAAAAAAATTAGGCTTGGCAAAATTTGACCTAATTGGGTTACAAGAACCAATTCATTAATACAGTATTTTATATACAATTTACGATTATCATTTAAGATTATAACTAATTTTCACCCTAGGTGATATCACCTTATATTGTAAAATTTTTATTAGGGTTAGGGTTTAGGATAAGAAGGTTTAAATATATGTAAAATTTTGCGTTAAAAACTTTTGCTTAGAAGTCAAAGCATAATAGGATTTGGAGTTATTAAAGTTGCTTTTCTTCGCTTTGTTTTAGTTACACAAGTTCCAGTGAGATGATTAGCTTTTATACAACCACCTAGGGTGAAAGTCATAATTTAAAAATCTTTTATTACACTTCTATCAAAAAATTTACATTGGAAACATATTAATCTATAAACTATTATTTTTTTAAAGAAAAAAAAAGATGAGAATTAAAATTTGTACATGCAAAAGGATATGAAATTACATTACATATTAAAATTGTTACCACTTCAGTAATTTGTTATTTATTACGGGTTCCCGAATTTTTTCCTTTTTTTTTTTTTTTTTTTTTTTAAAAAAAATGCTTTTTTTTTTTTTGTTTCACTTGTTTAAAAAACAAGTGCGTATTGTCATCATACGTACCATTTAAACCTACGTAATTTTGTTCATATAGTCATATTTTTGTAAAGTAAGCCTAATATGTATAAAATTTTTTTTTCATCTCCTCTAAATATTCGCTTTTCCTTGCCCGAATAAAAAGAAAAAGAAAATCCATATAACACGTAAGACTGTACAGGCTGTACAAAGAGTGTACAAGCTATACAGGTTATTAACAAAAATTTCATATGCAAATTGACCAACATCCAGATATATAATTTACATAAATTCATCAAATGAATGAATGAATTCTAAAAGAGTTAATAAAATCCTAATAATCTATTGTCCGCACGACCACTTAAAGCGGCAGATAAAGCAGCAGTTGTAAGGGCAGTAGTAGTATGTGCACTCCAACCAAGTTGCATAGTTATTTGCTGAGTTAAAAATCGCCAAAATTCATCGACTAACCCACCGCGAAGTAAGACCATGATAACCAAATAATATAACACGCCAGATACTTTACGAGCGATTAATTTTCTTAATAGCTTATGCAAGTAAGACTTTAGTTCAGTTGATAAAGACAATAAACTATAAAATCTTGAACGAGATTTTTGAGTCTTTTGTGTATAAGAAATATTATTGGTAGAAACTGAATCATTTCGTAGGCGAGTAGTATTAGGATATTGTACGGAATTGATTAAAATAGTAGGAGTAAGCGGGTGAAGAGAAGGATGATTAAGATGGTTATGCGACGATAATGCGGACACATCTTGACTAATTGGGGAGAACCTAAGATGTGGAGAATTAAAAGAAGAGGAGTGTCGAAGAGTTGGCCTTAAAGGACTTGGAGAAAGGATAGAAGGTTTTGTATCAATTTGTACGGAAGGAGACGTATAAACTTGAGTCATTCTGAGCCAATTGGGCACGTGATCTAGACCGGGGGAAGAAGGTTTAGGGGTCGGAGGTCGACTGTGATATGGAGTGGTTGGAGCAGAGAAGAATACATCATTTAAAGAGCATAAAGAATCATATGATGTAATTCTACTTAAGATAGGTAAAGCAGGAGGAGGATTTCCATAATATTGATATGGTTTATACGTTTCCAAATCATATTCATAAGTATCAGACCCACCATGCTCTAATATTTTTTTAGTAAAGTAAAATTATAAATTAGGAATATTGGGGGGAAGGATCACATGAAAAAAATTTTTTTAGGAAATCATGGGATATGACCAAAAAAGGGCGGGTAATAAAAAAACGTGGGGAAAATAGATTAATTATGACGTACCAATCAAAACATTTTCCTCATCGAAAAAGTTCAAGAGTTCTTTATTTTCCGAAAGGAAAAAAATGCGATTCAAAGCATCCTCAGGAAGAATAGGTTTGAAAAGTTTCCATATTCCAGAATACATCCAACCATAATTCAACACGAATACTAGATTACAAACGTAATAATGATAAATAAATAAATAAATAAATAAATAAAATGCATAAATAATAAGAGAATAAGATAAAAACTTACTGGCACCGGTAGAACCAGGAAAATGGTGACGAAAAACGTCAGTTGTAACGCGGAGTAAGTCAAGACTCTAAGATAGGTAAAATGGGTTAAATCGATCGAAAGAAATTTTACTTGAGCGTTAGAAAAAAAAAAAAAAGTATATAATTACCAGAGCAGAAACGCCAGCACCTTTTAAATCTAATAAGATAACATATTGCAGGATTGGACCATCCCTTGATTCTCTGGACTTATCCAACAACAACCTTCTAGCCACCTCAGCATTGAAAATAATATATTTTTTTACTTCTTCCATAGTAGGAGAACCATCCTCACGAACATATTGACGTAAATTGAGAATGGCACAAGGACGATTGTATTTATCCGTTTTATGAAAAAAGAAAAGGCCTCTTTCGATAAAATCTTGATTAATGTCCTGGATAGAGATATTGTCAACCTGGTTTTCGACGCGCCAACGAAGGTTGGACATTAAAGCTCTCGAGGCAGCATCAAAATCGAAGTTAGCCTTTCTAAGGAAACGAAAAATAGTACCTAAAAGAAAAGAAAGATTAGACAAAAATTCCAAAATAGATTTATAAAATAAGAGTATGGAATAATAAAAAAATTAATTACCTCTGTCATTAATATATTGTCTGATACGTTCAACTTGAACAAAGTCTAGATTAAGCTTCTGTTTAAGTTCAGGAAGGAAGTCACCAAGAACAGATTGTAAGTCATCAACTACGGGTTCATATTCTTTGTAAAGAAGTTTAAATTTAGCGATTTTTTCTCCAATCAAATGGCTCATTATATATCGTAAAAAAGAAAATTATATAATATATATATATTATAATATAAATATATATATATATATTGTGTATCTATCTTTCTATGAGACGTGGATGGATGGATATATATGTGAAAAACGTAAGGTTAAAAGTAAAAATGAAAAGGACGGAGATTTAGATCGTGGGTCACAAAAGAAGACAAAGAAAAAAAAGGAAGAAACGAAAACGTGTGCTTTTTATTTGATGAGCGAAGGAATATCAACGAAAGTTTTTTTTTTTTTTTTTTTTTTTTTGTGCAGTGGATGACAACAGAAAAAAAATCGAGGCTAGTGTTTGTTTTTTTTTTTTTTTTTTTTTTTTTGTGAATTGGATATATAAAAACCAAAAATCAAATATAAAAAATCTAAAAAATCTAAAAAATTATGCGGAAAAAACTGATCAACTTTATTATTTATAAATTATAAAAATTTACAATAGTCGTGCAGTGGTACATTTGAAAATGCTGTACGTACGTCATTCTATCATCACCTGAATTTTTCATCACTTTACAATAGTACTGTACCAATAATAATGTTGTATTGTAAGGATATTCGATCTACCACTACTAAATCTGGGCGTCGATAACCTCTTCGATTATCAAAATCATCATGATAACAATTTTCCACAATGTTTTAACATCTATCAGCTTTGATAAGATAAAATTATCATAGATGAAAAACGTTTAAAAAAAAAAAATGTCGTAATTAATTGGTAATTTCACTATTATCACATTACTAATACATGTCCGTTAGACTGTAATCCAAATGACTAAATAAACAGTTCGGCTATGTTATTTTATTTTACTAATTAAGTTATTTTATATACCATATAGTATTTGTTCTATTTATTCGACAATTACCATAATCATCATATAATATAAAAAAAATAGTGATAATAACGAGGTTGTGATTAGAATGACGCCTGCATGTTTGTTATTTGCTTTGGGCCACCTGACAGCGAAATAATTTCAAATGTTACACTATACTTTCAAATTTAGTTGTTTCAGCTGAAAAAGCAATATCGGGCAGGTGAACATTAATATATGAGCTTTTGAAGCATGGTCACACGTAACAGGAGAATTGCCTGATTATATCAAATGTCTAATTGTTTATCAAATTTTTTTTTTTATGTAGATTTCAAATGTCAATGTCATTTCAGGTTGGTGCGCCGTGGCCTTTATGTAGTTCAAAATGGTCACCCGACCAAACAAACATTCATGCTGTAAGATTTTGTAACAAGTTTTCTCCATCCGAAACTTTAAAATGTCAATTTTCAATATTGTTTTTTTCTCGTGTTAGAATCCCTGGGGTTTCAAACTATGTAGATTATGTATTGGTATATATATTGATATGTGTCGATAGATATATATATGTCATATATATATGTCATATATATATATGACATATATATATGACATATATATGACATATATATATGACACATATATATATGCAATAAATATATATGTCATATATATATATATGTATTATAATATATATTATAAATGTATATACGTATATATACATATATATTAGTCATCATGTTAATCTACTTGCCATAGTATTGTTCATTTTGATTTCCTGGACAATGGTTACCCAAGTTATTGGTTTTACCGATTAAAAATATCAATCTCTAGAACATTCCTACTTTTGTTTATTGGCCCGAATTTTTTTTAACGTTTACGTTTTACATTTTTGTACCTTGAAAAGTATGAAAAAGGTTTCCCTATTGTCCTATTGTCCGTGCCTCTTTTTTTTTAGCAAGAAATTCTGCATCACAATAATACGATTATTGATTTAAAGCCCATTAATTCTTTTCAAGGTTCTATATTTTAAACTTTACTTTAACTTACAATGGTTAAAAGTATGCGGCCTATAAAAACCTGAGTCTTCCAAGTATATGATGTCATTATTGGTCATACCATTCTTTATATGGCTCTTCACATCTCTATTTAAGACTTGTAAAGCTGCAATGTTTTGTTGCCTGGCATAATTTCGAAAATCTTTACAAATATAATTTATCCATTTTATTTATTCCTTTTTCAGATGCTTACATGAAATGATGTATTGGGTGACTAATGATAGTTAAATTAAATAAACTTGTGATATTAATATGCCATTCGTTTTTTTTCATCTTATTTATCTGGAAAAAAAAATTTGAAAGGTTGACATCTAACGTCCATTGAATTGGATTTCAGCCCCCAAATGTTACCGTGGGACATAGTTCCCCATCAATGATATAATCCACGTGAGTACCAAAGTACTATAATCGGCGTTTTTCATATGAAAAAATATATATCTCGATAGATGTTTTGAAGTATAGGTAATACCGGCTATAATGTAATAATAAGGTGAAATGTATACTTTACTGATTTAGTACAGAAGTTACTGTCAGATGATGTTTTACTTTAAAATAAATACCTGTACCGGTTTTTTTTTTTTTTTTATTCGATAAACCAATCGAAATTTACATATGATTTGCGAACACATAATATGTCGATATAGTACTTGCGTTCTTTTTAGTCAAAGCGTTACATTTTTAAAATATGGCGTGATATAGTGTGGGCGATGATCTGCGTGATCGATAATAAATGAACACGTATAAGTATTGACTTTCTTTTCAAATATATTATTCGTCAAGTTACAATCATTAATCTTCAATTATTAATATTTGTCATGCAACAATTAAAAATATTTTCTAAACTAATGGAATAATATATATGGGTAATTTATTTATACGTAAGATATTGGTTATCAAAGTTCATGTATTCGCTAGTGAAAAATATCAATTTATATTATGTAAATCGGCCAAAATCGATATTTTTGCAATTTTTAATGCGGTGTAGCAATACCACTTCGGGCAAAATTAAGTGTATAATTTGGGCCGGACAACACAAATTTGGCCAACCTGAACTGTCAGTAAGTTTTTGAAACGTAGATAATCACGAAGCATCACGTGCCAGACAATTATTTGCCCGGTTGAGCCAAACAATTTTTATGATTGGGCTGTGCATTTTGACTGGCCAATCTTGGTAAATCGATATTTTTGACTAGAAATTTTCTAAAAATATCCGTAGGGTATGACAATACCCAGTACGTATATTAGGTTGTAAAATTAGGTGCTGGATATTTTTACTTAAGGCACTTATATCAGTTTTCCTAATAAAATTTTGAGATATTACCGATTTTGGATTTTTTTCTTATACTCAGGTATATACCAAATCAAATCACTGTTCCTGTCGCTAGGTTCCTATTCTGACCAATCAGGTGACAGGGTCTGGCGTAACTCAAAAAAAATTTGGGGTAACATTATCACCAATCCTAGATATCACATTTTAAAAAAAATGTAACAAATAAGTATGAATAATTCCACCAATAGAAACGAAATCGGTCAATTCGGAGTTAATGCCACTTCCATGTGCTGCAGTGTTGACTGATGACCATGTCGTATAATCATATGACTTTTTTATTAGTCATATTATATTAGTCATATATATATAAGTCATATCAAATGTTAATAAAATAATAAAAAATTCTTTTTACTACTACGTACCATTAAAAGGCCATAAAGTCATATCAACCACCTTTATGACTAGATGACCTATGACAGATCATAATGATCATATAGTGTCATCGGCCAGCACTGATATGCTGCGTGGTAGTACATGAGTGACATTAATTCATATGACCAAATATCTATATATTAGCATGTGATGATTTTGTCGCGATACTTAGCTAGGGTTGGGGCACGAAAGAGCACGCCTGGGCTGAGACATGCTTCTCTTATTATGTCTGGGATCTGGAATCTGAATGTTACCCTTGTCTGCACATATATGAAACTTTAAGCCATAAAAAATAACTTTTAAAAATTGTACGATAAATAAAAATAAGGTTTTTTTTTTAAATGAACTGTTTACTTGCATTTTAAATTCCCTTGACTTATTTGATTGGCCAACGATTATGCTTATCAGATAAGTGGTAAGATGAATCTAAGGTAGAGTGTAGCCATTCACATGTCGGGTTCGAGATCTACCCGTAAAGATCCAATACTAGTAAAAAAAAAAAAGACCAAATTTTGCACTCAATTATTTTCATAAAATTCAACACTGTTATTATTACCATCATATTTAATTTAAAAGTATTGGAGACCGTTAAATTGGTTCTAATGATTTTATGTCCATACAGAGTTAATTTTTCGGTTTTCATTACCCGTTGGCCAAAATTTTTTTCAAAAACTTGATATATATATATTTTTTTTACATCAATTTGTTTAAAACTAGAATGTCCAGCACCCGTTCAACTGGTCCGGAATCCTAAATTAGAATCAATTGCTGGATGTTAAAATCTTAATAAAAACAGTAGCTAACTATTAAAATATATATTGAATTTTTTTAAAAAATAAAAACAAATAAAAGAACAGAGACTACTTTCTTTGTGAATTTATTATAATTGTAATTTTAAAGCAATAGCATTTAAATTTATTCCTAAATTAAAGACCTAATGTTCAAGTTCAAGCTTATAAAATGTCGCCGTTTGTTTAGCACGTACTTATTTAATCAAATATAACGACATAGAGCAATGTCGGACCATTTCGGGATTGGATAGGATGTTCACCGGGTGTTTTCGGGAGGTATGTAATATGAAAAGTTTCCGATAGGTTTATACCTAACATAGTTTTATAATATATACTAGTTGATTTAACTGATTTAAAGAACCCAAAATTCGAAGCTACAACACGTGAACAAATAAAATGCTTTTCAAGAAATCCTTAGAAGTTAAAAAACTTTGTCTACATGAAACTCACGAATTAGATGCGAACATGAGTCTATTAATTTAGATCAAATTTAGATCAATAACAGAAAAAAAAAATCGACAACTTCAGAATGTCAGTAATGCAAAACTACAACTCAACTGTGCGGCCTAATTATAACAACTGACCTTAAACGCCCGTTTAACGATAGAAATTACAGCATATTAGTACTAAAAGTTGGTTGTTTTTTTTAATTGTTTATGTAATTTTATTTAAGCAGACTGATCGTTTATCTAACTATATATGTAATAGATATTTCATGGGCTGTAGGGACACGGAAATATTTCGAAATCAAAATTTTGGCCAAAAATATCTTAACAAGCATTTGACAAATTTGATAATTTGAATTCTACATACCCGTAAAATTCAAATAAAAAAATTTCCTGTGTTTCTGATGTAGGTTGGAGGCACGGTGATCAAGGGCATGCCCATATTATGTAATTATAAATCTTAATCAT